GTCAAAGCACTCTTTTCAAGTAGCATCGCAACTCGTTGCCTACTATATAAGGTCATTCATTCTTCCTATCGTAAAAATGACCCTCACTGTACTTCTTTCGACTTTACCTACGACTTCTGTAGATCATCATATCAATTAAGCACGAGCACTCTGGTAGTTCGTGTAAATGTCTGCTACAGTGAAATCTGAATGTATCTCTTCCTACATCTTAAGATTTTGCGAGATACCTTGAAAATTGAAAACTCGGACGGGCATCTGAATGGGCGAAGGCAATCACAGAGCCATTTCACAAACAAAGCATTGAGGTAACATTATAATGATAGGTATAGTCGATCTATCAGGCAATACAATGTGATCCCAGACATCACCATCAAAGAGCCTTCTCCAGGGAAGCAGAAAAATCTTTGTTACATAATAGCGTTGCAAATAACAAATTGAGCTAGAGATCGAGCTCATTGATTAAATGCAGAAATATTGATGGTGATTCCTAAACTCAACAAAGTCCTACGCTGTTGTTCGTCAACAGAAATTCATTGACGGGATACCTTGGCACTTGGGACCCGCATCGTAGTTTTGCTAGTACTAAGGTGATTGTTGATTATTTCTGTGGTGCTGGTGATATTGCTGTCCATCTCGCAACTAGAACAAATAAGGCTAATCTACAACTCTTCATTTTTTTGGAGGCTGATTTTGAAAGAAGGATAAACAATCTAATTTTTATAAATTTTTAGATTCAGTCAAAGCCATTGATATTGATCCCAACATAATTGCTGTAGGTAGACATATCCTAAACATAATGCAGCTGTTTATGGTGTACAAGATAATATTGATTTTATGGAATGGATCTAGAATCAAGATAAGTAGAGAGCACCCCAAGCTTGCAATGGTTTACAGTCCATGTTGAAGCGCATGGTCTGCGGGTTCAAAGGACCAATACTGAGAGAGCCAGCATGCATAATCAAATATCAAGTCAGCATTGCAAAAATTGTAAATATAAAAATGTGCAACAGACTTGCATAAGTACTGTTGCATTCCCTTTTGATCCGGTCCTGTTTGCATGGAATCAGTTTTGCTAATTTTTACTTGTAGTCCTTGATTCTGTTTCCAATTTTTATTGTCTAATATGTAGCAGTGTTGCTTTTCAATTTCAAATGATCCTTTTTTGAATTTTTGAGGGACTTTTGGTTTTATGTTGATGATTGTTTTTCTTCCGTTCTGCTTGTGGATGTGTTCTACCTGGAAACTCTTTCTGCATCCCAACAAACATGTGCTTTTTCAATAGGTTGATACCCCTTTTTTCTTTTACAAACTCACAATGCAAAGGGCAAAAGCAACTGCCTTTGCACTGCATGCAACACAATGGCAGGTGCTCTGGTTGCATTTGACCGTTGCTACTCTTGTTGCGCCAATTGCTCCTCAGAGACAGAGGAAACATTTATGGGCAGTATAAATTTAACTGTATTATTATAGCTCACAATATATCAGGTGATAATGAGAAAAAACATAAACAACAAGAAAAATCTGGCATATGGCATAATTGATGGAGAGGATAAGCATAAAAGTAGAGAAAGAAAAGAAATAGTTTGGAAAAAATGCTGAAATACTTATAACATATACCACCAAAAGTGTCAATTGCTTTGTTCACTCCTGTATATGTGTGTGCTAGAGGTACATGCTGACGCCACCATAGACGTGAACCTACACAGCTTTGATTCTATGTGGTACCAGGTGCACTGGGTCTGACAAGCATATATCAGCTGCCTTTGAAAAGGTTTGGGTCACTGTGTGTTGTCGCTGCCAAATTTGGCTTGTTGAACATGGGGCATGTGTAGTCCCCAAGGCAGGGACAGTGTGTCACAGGCCCAAATGCAACACAGCATTGTGTGGGTTAATAAATGAAAACAATCATGTGAAATGTAGAAAATAGTTGAAATGTAACAATGATGTCATAAGAGAAATGTGACATGGTTAGTAGCACATATAATAACTCCAACATCTATAAGTGTTAAATTCTCATCCAGTGTTTGTGAGTACTACACAAGAATGATAAAAAAGGTCCATACCTTCCACCACGGCAAGGCTGTGTTGGTTTCTCGTGCATCTTCTTTGACAGACATTGGGTGAATCTCCTGGAGGCAAGAAACTATTTTGTTTGAATCCACCTCAACACCTTGAGCCTTGAAAAGTTGGAAAACATTGTTGGTTTCTTTTGAAGAAGCTGTAGAGGCTGTAGCAGTTGCTCTGAGTCCTGTGTTTTTAAGTGGGTGAGTCTGACTTGCTATTCAACACTCCTCCATGCAAGTCTCAAACTTCTCTTGTAATAACTTGTGTGCTCAAATGGTGATTGGGAAAACCAAAAGCATTCTTGAAAGATTGAATTTGCAAAAATGGGTTTAGGATCATAGCCATGACAGTTGTGTCACACTGCAATGCCCCCTCAAAATACTTGTCCACCCTGGCTTGCATTGATCAAAGCATGGGAAACAATGCATCCCCAATAAAGAGTTTGTCAACTCATGAGGCAAGGTGAACCATGAGTGTGTAGAACTTAGCTTTGATTTCCGGTGGGTCCGTCACCCTCCATGTGTTTTGTTAGATCCAAGAATGGATTTTGACACATCAACAACACCCTAACCAAATCAAAAGCAACCAAAATATTAGTGGTTCAAGCTTTGTTGCAACCCAATCAATACCAACCATACCACAATCAAATTGAAATTCACAATTTCAAAAGTATGATCTAATTGCAGTGTGATTCTTACACTGCAATGGCAGCAAAATCAAAACACAATTTTTTTTTGGTGGTTTTGGAAAAACAGATTTCACAAGACTATGTTAGAAACTATCAAGCCATGAGCATACAAAGTGTGGGTTTTAGGACAGAGAATAAAAAAGAAACTTTGACAGTGAAGATATAGGTAAAAATTAGGTCTTCTTGGATTGGCCCAAAGCTTCCTTCAATTTGGCCTTTTGGACCTTGGAAAAAGCCTCCACATATTCTTCTGCAACTTTGACACTCTGGCTAAGCCACTGGTGACACCCAACAGCTTGTTCAATTGTGCATGGGGCTAGGATGTGGTCAGCATTTGCAATTTGTCCAGCCGCCAAGAAAATATGTTCACAGGCACATGAAGTCCCAGTGCACACCAAGTAGATAAGCTGTTTGGATTTCCTAATCAAGAGATATATAAGTTGAACCATTATGAATAAAAGATGCTAGGAGTCAAGACTTACCTTCCACCAGGAAAGAGGTAAAGCACCTTCATATGCAATCATTTTTGTGTCAAGATATCTTGTGTGCTCAGCATGTGTGTTGCGCAATTTATCACCTGATGTGTTGCTGAAATTGTCAAGGATGTCTTCATGTAGTGAAGACAGGTCAGTTGGGTTGCAGGTTGAGACTGATGTACCTTGATGCTTTGGCATACAAACTAGCTCTTCATCATAGGGTCTCTCCAACAGATTCCAAGCATGTTCAACATGATTCAGGAAAATCTTGGTGAAAAACTGAAGGTGGTATTGTGGGTCTGTAGCAATGATGATTGCATCACAACATAGAGCTTCATCTTGATAAAATGATATATTTTTGATCATTGTGTTGATCACAAGTCCAAGTCCAGGCACAAAAAGATGCACTTAAAGTTATAGGCTACAGAATTTACAGATAAGATGTGCCAAGCACTATAAGAGTGGACCTTCCCCACAGTGCTCAGCTCCCCAGCTACCTCACCCAAAAGGGAGCAAAGGCTGACAAACTCAACAGTGTCACATCATGAGAGGCAACATCAGCTAAGAGAAAGGGGGGCTCTATCTCAACCCTCTCTCATAATTCCAGAGAACCACAGGTTTGCTCTTCTACTTTCCTATTTTGCAATGAATCTTCAGTTCTTACAAGCTCTAAATGCTTGTCTTTGGAACACTTATCCCCTTACCTATAATTGCCATCTTTCCCTGATTCATTATCATTACTGTTGCCAATTATCACTAAAGTCACTCTGCTCCAAACCCCTTTTTATCCGTGAGGTTATTGATTTTAAGTCACTTAATGGTTCCTCCTCTAACCCCTAGTTTGGTCGTGTTGAAACCTTACAAATTAGACATATTTCCACTGACATCCAGTCTTCTTGTAGGCTTGATTGCCAACGAAATAGGTATAAAATATCCTGTCAATCTAGCTGTGATAATCTCGATCAGGGTCTTGATGATTTGACAATGGTCATGAAAAACTTTGGTTCAATAACCAATCTACATATCTCCAGGTAAAATGTTCAGATTTTGCAAGTATGGGAATGGATATGAATCAGATCTGATCACATTGCTTCGTATTTGAATAATGATTGAGATGATGGTCACATACATATCGTTTGCACTAAAAGGTGTTACCGAGGTTGCACTTGATGGTGTCAAGTATATCGCCATGAACAGTCGTCTGCATTATTGGGCTTCGCGTCCACTGAGTAGAGGAAGCTGACCTTTGAGGGAATTGACAACGAGCGAAGCGATAAAGTACATAGCCGGAAGTGGAGAGCTGAACATAGGGAGAGGGGATGGATCGTATCAGGTATAATCCTAACTGCACCGCTCTCAACGGCCGAAGATAAAAAATCAAAAAAGCAACCTTCTCGAGAACAGCTGTACACGGTTCAAAATCTTTCTTTTCAAAGTTTCATTTTTTTTCTAGTTGGACGGCACCTAACCTGGAATGGCCTGGAATCGATGGAAACAAAGTTTATTGACTTTCACATGAGATCTGCGACTTTGCTTGCCGTGCAATACACATCTTTAACCCTTTAACCTTCTTTTCCCCGCGGGTCTCATGTTTTGTTTTTGTAATTTAAATTATCAGCGTTCGAGGTTAGACCGGCCGGGCGTCCTTGATAAGCCTTGATAATTACTCCACTTCCATAATTCCACGTTAAGTCGATCTTCTAGATTGTAGCCTTTCGGTTGTCTTCCCGCCTATTCTCTCCCCTCACTTCTTCACGTCCAGCATCCATATCACCCGCGCTATCCATCCAATCTCAGTTCTTTCCCCAGCATTTTGTCTTGCAAAAATGTCTACCCTTCTCGTTGAAACCACTTATGGTCCAATCCTTGGCTTTCAAGATACATTCCCTTTGCAAGATAAATCTTCTTTCACTCAACCTTGTCATGGTCAGGGTGGAGGCCACGATCCTGTCCTGAAGTGGCTGGTAGGTATCCTTTCACTGTCATCGCACTTGTCGCGTTATCGAAACCTCGTAGTCTCTCAGTGGGCGACTGCCGACTTACAAATGAATGTACGGTCTTAAAACCAGGGTATTCCTTACGGTCAAGCAAAACGATGGAAAAAACCAGTTGCCCCCGCATCATGGTCAGAGCCCCTGATGTGCACCGAATTTGGGTATGTTTTTTATATTTGCCTTGTGCGTGCGTGTCTGTTTTTCTAGGGGAATCTGACGGCTTCTATAGGCCATATTTTCCCCAAGCTTTCGACTTGCTTGATCAGATCTACCAAGGAAAATCGGGCTACTTTTCACGTACAGCTCATCTACCCTGCGAGGAGGAAAATGGATTCAATCTCAATGTTTTTGCACCCTCTGGTACTCAGCCTGGAGACAATTTAGCAGTGATGGTGGGTTGTCAGAATGGGATACTACCAGATACATATTTAATCACTTGAGAGACTTTCCCCTGACTTTAGACAATTTCTATTCACCCTGATCGCTAATCTCGTAAGGTATGGATCCAGTGAGCTTCTTTCTCATATACGAAAGACCGAGATAACAGAGGAAACCTTAATGATAATCACCTCTCCGTGCCTCAGTGGCGGATCTCTTGAGTCGGGACCTTCTTCCTCACTGCTGTATGATCCTACGGAATGGATAAGATCCCAAGGGAAATCTGGGTGTATAGTTGTGACAGGAAACTATCGGACCAATATTTTAGGATTCTTGGCCTGTCAAGATCTGGCGGAGGAAGACGAAGGTGGCCTCGCTGGTAATTATGGTATGTGACAATCATTTTATGTGTTCAAAAGCAATGATGATCCTAACATGCTCGTTCTGGTAGGGGCCTATGATTGTATCTCGATTTTAGAATGGGTGATTTGATGATTCTGAGCTTATCATGATAACCACTAACTGACGATCAATCGATACCGTCATCGAAGGTCCAAGGTAACATCAGATCGTTTGGTGGTGATCCGGACAATGTCACGATTTTTGGTGAATCTGCGGGTATGTTAGCCTCATCCTTCTCAAAAGACCTTTCCCGACTAGAGTTGATGAAGTCACAAACCACCGTCATCTGCTTGTCATCTGAAAGGCGGTTTCCTCGTCGGAGCACTCCTTGTCACACAGAAGAAGCTATTCAAACGCGCGATCATGCAATCCGGATTTCCAGGTAGTCTGGTAAGATTCTCATCAGTTGAATTCCGACAGGCCTGGTGAATCAGAACAAAAACCGACCATCCAAGTCAACATATATCTGTGCAATAGAAACACCTTGAGCTCGACTCGGGATCGGGTCATGCGGTATACCGGGCGCTGTTGGAAAAACACCCGACACTCTCTGAGCTACGATCAACGGAGCGATTAGAATTCCTCCGAAACATTCCGCAAGACGAGCTTGTATCTTTTATGGCTGCGAGAGGCAGTGTTATCAAAGAGTATGGCATTACGATCGAAACTTCTTTGAATGCTGCTTCTATCTGGACGAAACCGACTATTGAATTGATCAAAGAAGGGAAATGGAATCCATACCTCGAAACTGTCCTCCTTGGGACCACCAAGGATGAAGGAAGCTTGTTTGCATGTTTATTTAACGCTTCGAAAGGCATCGGACTCGAATTCCTTCTGAACACGCTTGCTCCGTGGTGTCCAAGGAAGACTATTGATGAACTATACCCTAACAACGAATTAGAGACGGATTGGATAAATTGTACTGGATCTCGCTTGGTGACAGAGCAGATATTTGAAAGTCCTCTGGAAGAGGTAGCTTCCGCGTTTAATACCAGTAAGAATTTGCAAACAGATGAACTGTGTAAAGCTTACAGATACAGACTGGATGCATCGATTGAAGACAGCCGGGGGTGGGGGTGCTTGTAAGCATGCATCAGCTCTATCTTTTCTCATCCGCAAAGAGCTCATCCTCATGCTCTGACTATTTCACACAGCCATACGGTAGATGTGCCATTGGCCTTTAACATCAAGAGTATGTGGAGACCTGATTCCTCAGAATCAAAAGTGGCGAACCAAATTGGGAAAGCATGGTTTGAATTCGCTCGTACGGGCTCGCCAGGTATGAATCACTGAAGCTCCCTATCTCACACGAACCCGATGCCACAGGGAGATTGAAGCCTGTTTAAAAAATGTAGCTTCAGAGTGGCCTCAATATACGACAGTGGGATCCCAAGTTTATATCTTCCGGGAGAACGGCGAATGTATTATTGAGAATCTGAATTCAACTCGCTCGCAAGTTGAACAAAAGAGGATAGCGTATTGGATTGGTGAGTGATTGCGTTTTGGCCAGAAGCGGTATTCACTGTGTCGCTTGATGGCTGATTCATTCTGGTCTGCTTGTTTTCAGATAAGATGCCTTATCTTACATCTTCACGAGCCATGAAAGAAACCAAGCTGTAAATATGGGGTAACAGTCGTAATTATAACAAGCAAGCACTATATTTTCTTTTTATTTGTTCTAGCATTGAAATTTTGATAATCTTGGATTGGTGCAATTCGAATGGTGTCTATTGCCCTTTTGGGGCCAATGGGATGTTCAAACCTTCAACATTTTAAATTGGTAATGCTGGAGTCAAGCCTCTCACTTTTTTGCTTTGATGCTTTCAAGATCCAGCAAGAGTGATTGAAATCTTGAGGATGTGATTGTAAAAGGGAACTGTGAACTTCATTCAGTAGCTCCACGATGATTAGTAGATGTTGATGTAATCTGCGATGTGAATGTACAACTTACAAGGCTAAAGCGTAAGATACCTCCGAGCTTTATCTGATTGTGGCTTCAACTCAGGGCTTCAATTGAGTATTTGACTCATCCGGCTTTCGAATTGATCAAGATTTTGGAAGCCTTGAAGTTGCAACCTAAATTACCAATGATATTGGGACCTTGAACTTGAAAAAATCACCGCAAACCGATCTGACTATTTGTCATTTGAGTGCTGTTAAAGGCTGTTAAACCCTTTGGTACATAATGCTAAAAATTGAGGGTGCTCTCACATCTGTAGCATTTGACGAAGATAGTCTCACCCAACCTTCCCCTGTGTTGCATACATCCCTCATCATAGGGAATACCGAAAGAATGTGGGTCCTACGTTGTTCGATAGAATACGTTGCTCGGCCTTTGCCAACAACATTTGAGATTGAACATTTTCAAGCAACGCCCGCATCAATTGATACTTCCTTCTTACATTCGGATTCACATGTCGACATTCTTTTTTTTTAAAAAGTTTAATGTCTTAACAGTGTAAAGCCATCTAAAAAGGAAGATCAGGATATATTGGCTAACTACGTCTTGTTTGTGTTGATAGAATGAACGAAACGACTGGCAGAAAAGTACAAGAGACGGAGCAACGACAAAATGATGACAAGGAGAGATGTAGGTGAAAGGGAAATCAACAAGGACAAATCGAAACGGTCTGCCATATATCCCGAGTTCCTATCTGATCGATCAGCCACCGGTCTCGAAGTCGGCCAGGGTAGCAGCTCGCTTCCAACATAAGCTCGTCGAATGATCGAGGGTTCCGTTTCCTGTGATTGGCACCTCGGCTGGAGAGTCGAAGAATCGGTATGCCCTCATGATCAGAGAACAGCTTTGTGGAATTATGTCAATAATCAAGATATGGCGGGAGCCGACGGTCTGCGTGCGGCTGGTGACAAATGCCCGCATGTTCCGCACCGGATACTCTTCTGAGTCGTGAGGAATTTGATGGACGCCATTCTCGTAACCGCTCGCCATCGTCAGGAAGCAAGATGTCGTCAGACAAAACTCAATATCATACTCACCTAACACTCAAGAGGTTCATAGAAGTTCAACAGAATCGAGATTTTCTTCAACAAGAATTTGAACAAGCAATCGAGTCCAGTTTATCACCTACCGTCCCTGATCTTGAGCAAGCAGATCATTCTCTGAATGATAAAGATGAAGATCGAACACATGAAATCCTAGCAGGGGAACCTCCACAAATCTCGGCATGTAGACGTACACACGTAGAAACTGAGCATGATAAAGAGGAATATCTGCAGCAGGTTCTTTTCTCGTTCGATTTAACCGTTTAACCCGTGGCAGCCAGTCCTTCGATTGGATTTGAACCTTTTCTGATTGCCTGTTTGATCCTACCAAAGCTAGGTCATGGCAATCTGTACCACGGGCTTCTTGGAGATCAAATCCGAAGTTAACCTTTTGGCTAAGCTATTGAGAGAAGATCTAGGTGTAGCTGCGCTTGCAGACCTGGTTGAAAAGGTACAAAATCTAGCGGAACGAAAAGTAAACGAGGTAAATCACAAACAATTTTGGCTTCATGTTTCCCTGAAATTGATTGTCTCAATGCGATGTATCGCCAGTGCCTGCAAAGGAGTCTCCTGCAGAGGAAGGCAACCCTCGAACAACGCGATTATGGAGAAGAGATCTCCAAACACGAAGAGAAGTAAGGTTGTAATTTTTGTCTCTCGAAAGTCATACGCATTGAATACCTCGATCCGATTTCAATAGGATCGCCGAACTTTCTACGTTGACCCTGGAGACCATGGAAGAAGTCAAAGCAGAGATGATCGATCGGGCTTCGGATGCAGCTTAAATGTATGAAGATCTGTTTTACATTGTGTCGAATTTGTGAAAACATGTATGTTTTCTTTTGAGATCGGCTGTCTGAGTTCATGTAACTGACAAGTTGCCTTGCGAATTTTAAGCCAGAACCAATCCTATCCATCCACGGAAAATCTAGCTATATGCACGCTGCATAGTGTGGGACATGACGGATATATAACGATCATGCAAATCAAATCCTTAGATAAGGTGCCATACCTCATTTGAAAGAATCATGTAGGTTGAAAGATGGTTGAATCATTGCTATGCTTTTAATTGATGTGTATGTGCTGCTGCTGTTACTTCTTTGCAGATTGATCACCAAAATTCCTAAAACTTCAATGATGTCCTGAAATTCTCACATCACTTTGCGCCTGTGTGTGATGATGTGCCAACAATCATTGGCAGAGTGGCTCAACGTTGAGCAAAGCACACAGGTCTACCATAGGTGTAACACAGCTTGAAAGGAACTTTTTTCGTGTTGTGTCTCACCAAATATTCCCATTAAACATGCGTGGGTTCAATTCAAACATCTAAGATGCAGCTTGAGTATCAGAGATGTCAGATTTTGATATACATGGTCTTTACACCTAGGAATATGCGTAGCACAGGTGCCAGTGTTCTGTTACCAGCACCCTGGTAAGCTCTATTAAAATGTACCAACAAAAATGGTATGTTTTGGGATGAGAGGTTTCACCCTTACACTAGCCAACACCGCAAGCGCTACGCAACCACTCTGCAATGGGGTGTTTTTTTTCTACCTCGCCGTTGTGGAGTGTTTGGGCAAATATTGCGGAAAATGCACAATATCGCCCTATTTCCGCAAGATTTGCCCTAAATAACCGTCAAAACCGACTGCAATTGCGGTGCGGGTTTCTGAGCAACGGGTTTTTTGAACCCGGGTTGTGGAGCGCTGGCACCGCACTATATTGTGTTGCTATTGCGTGCCCAAAAGCGCTACACAACCGCACCACAACCGCAACATAGTGCGGTGCTCTTGCGGTATTGCACTAGCCATGAAAGTGGTGAAGATTTCACCCAGAAGAAGTTCATCTCAGGCATCCTGGTGGGATGACTGTGACAGGATGGTCAGTATAATACCTCCACATTTCTGTGAGCATACCAACAAGGTAGTGTTTTTGGTGTATGTGGATGAATATAACCCTAGCCTAGACCCTGGAAATTGGCCATCAGCTGCATAATCACAGATAGGTCTCCTACTTAATGTTCCTCATGTATACATATGAATGGGAGCAGTGGGTGCAAGTGCAGTATCATGAAGCTGCTCAATGTGGGCTCACCTTCCCTCTTTGTGAATATTCAAACATTGATAAAGACCTCCAGTCAGATTTTGCCAGAGATTGAGGGCAACAGATGAAAACTATTCCTCCCCCAGTGTGCATGTTTAATGATTTCCACTATGACCAGATCTTAAGGATGTAGCTAAATTTGAGACCTGATTATCAGCTTGGAAACACAGGAAATGGGTGACAAGGTGATATGCCCATATCATTAAGTGTTTGAATAATCTTTGCACTCTGCATTGTGTGGTATACCTTCTGCTGTCCTTGGCTTAAAAGCATCTGTGACTTGAACTGTGCATAACCCTTTCATCTTTTCTTGCCAAGTTTGTGGACTAAAAGGCATGCCATGTGCTCTTGGTTTGCTCTTCCCAAAAAAGGTTAGAACAATGCACACCTCCCAGATGATAGGGATGTGGCCAAAATGAATGTACGTCCTTTGCACTATAAGTCACCAAAATGATGGATATGGGGCAAGGAGTAATTATATCAGTACACATGGATTGTGTTTAAGCAATTTTTCATACGTATATTCTTGTTTGAGTGTTATCTAGCCACCCACTATTGGCCACTATCATAGCTATCAGTGAGCCCTTTGACCATAGTGGGTTGAACAAGGCGCTATAAACACACAACTTATTGATATTCAGCACTATTGAGCGCTCAGAAAGCAATAAAGCACTGTGAAGCCAAATTGTAGCACTACAATCTCAAAACTTCACATTGCCATTGTCTAAAAACATTGAAGATCATATTGAATGGGATCAAAGAGAGACCATGACAAAGGACTAGAAAAGACAAACAATCAAACTGTAATTAAACAATGAAAATAAGAAGAGAAAACATTTGACTGTGATTTAAGAAAGGAATCAGGAAGTAAAACATTTGACTGTGATTAAAGAGAAAAATTGAGAGAGAAGAGAAAAAATCAAACTGTAATTAAACAAAGCAAGAGAATATATTGATTAGATTGATAATTCAATGAAATAGAAAAGTATCTGAACAGATCATTCCTTTGTCTGATCACTTGTTCTCAACATCTCATCTTGAATGAGCACCCATACCTCCATGAGATTGCCTTCAGGCTTCACAATGTATGATTTTAACCACAATTAACATCCCACAGCTTGCCCCATCTGCCTTGGAGACATTGCACCCTGCTGTGTGTGGTGCTACACTTTTGGGAATGTAGCACTTCAAAGTGCTCCAAAGCACTAAAATGGTGTGCAAATCATCATAGCAGATCAAAAAAGGTAACAATTCCTATTTGATCAGGGGATAGTGGCACAGTAGAACACTATAAACATAGTCATACATATATATAGTGCTTGGTGCCACAATGCACTTTGTATACATAGTGCTATCAATAGTGGGCCAGACAGATGTTTCTGGGATGCCAGGGTTTGGTGTCAGTTGAGCTTTACATGTTACACATCTCAAGTGTGGGGACAAGTTCAAGCATTTATGGTATCAATAACCCAATCAACAATGGGATAGCACTTCACCATCTTGTTCTGATTTATGGTAGGTAGTTGACACTTCAGCAATATGTTTGTTTTACATGTGCATTATTGTCAAGTTATATAATTGTTTTCCTCTTGGGGCTTTTGAAGTTATCACAACATGTTCTAAAGCAATCTAAAAGCAAGTCACTCATACCCATGGTTACTTTAGTCAACAAAATATGGCTTGAAAACACTCTTCAGATCTTATACATCTCTCTTCCTTCTTCAAATCTTTCTAGTCAAGTCATACATATCAACAAACTTTAAAGAAGAAGGCATCACATTATTACAAATGTGCGACATACAAACTGTTTAGAAATAGTGAAACGAATATAAACATAAAAAATGAAAGAGAAAAGAGAAACCAAAACTCTAATGCTAAGTAGTTTCCAATCGAAAGGAACATCAAATGAATGCAAAACAAGACTATAAACATAAAAAAAACAATGCATGATAGTAAAATCAAATTAACCAAATCCAGAAAGATTAGAAGGAGGCCAAATCAATCCGAAGAGCATCTTAATGACCACCGACCAATTTAACATATCCCACTGATCTTTAACCATCACACCTTTAAGTACTAAAGTATTAGTAACCCATCTACCAGATCCAATTAAAACAAAATATAACCATAACCACCTCGAAAGTTTTTTACCTATTCCATCATTTGGTCGTACTGGTAACCAAACTCTTTCTATTACTGTTCCGATTCCTTGACTTAGGAAAAACATCATCACTCCTGGTTCAAAGATTAATGTTAAAAAAGTTACTGGATTGGAGAGAGTCGGGGTTGGATACAAGCGGGAGAGGAGAATACAATGCATTACAGCACTTTGAGAGAATTGTGCCGAAGAGAGGTATGAGTCAATTTAGGATTAGGCTTAGGGTTGATTGAAACTTCAAGGAAACTGACCTTATATAGAATGTTGCAAAGGCGTGAACGAGTGGGTTATTTGCACCTGGTATCAACCGAGCTAACCTGACATAACTACGACGCCAAACCTAAAAAAATCACCCACGAAACAAAAATATGAAAGACACACAAATCGTCAAAAATTGATTCAAGGTGACGAAAAGTGAAGTCCGTGGTCTCTAATTTGAATTTGAAACATACATGATGCCACCTTTTACCCCAGAGATCTACTAATCCAGAAGAAAGGATAGCCCGACGCGAGTTAGAAACAAGAGCGGTAGGAGGTATCAAATTTAAATGAGTGATAATAGGGTATGTGATAGCTTCTTCAAATGCATTTCCAAATGTAACAATTCCACCTAAAGCAAAAGTCAAAGCACATTGTACAAACAAAGGTTCATCCCATAATGGTCTACTCCCGTCTAAATTTAATCGACGTATATAAGCATGACAAATTAGATGAGCGATTTGTTGAATAGCCGCTGGAAGTAATGGCCATTCTGGTGTAGCCCAAGTTGTTTGAGGTGATTCGAGAACGCGTTGGGACCAAGAAAGAGCTCTGAGACGCCAGGGAAATAACCAAGGGGTTCCTGGTCTCAATAGGATGAGGTTGTCTAAAGCCCAAAGTATACGATCGGTCGACCAAAGTGGTGGATATGGAACTCTACGCCATTTTCTACATGGTTCTTTCGAGTTGATCACTTTGAGATCTTTGTGTGAAGAGTTCACCGGATTCTTTTTCGTCTCTGATTTATCCTTGTCTTTGTTTTCTTGATCTTTGAGTTCCTCGTGAGTCTCTTTCGATTCCTGAGTAGATTGATCAGGTACAATCCAATGAGCAGCGCGTTCAGGATCCCAAAGATTGATGATCGAAAAATCCAAAGCTCGAAAGACAATAATAAAAGCTATACTAGGAAAAGCTGTATCTCTGAGTGGTGAACCGAATGAATAATCGCGATTGAGTAAGATATCGTAAGCTAATCCGAAAAGAAAAGGTAATAATGATAATCTAAATAAGATCGGAAGAGTACCAGGTGAAGGTAGAGAGATAGCCGAAAGAAGCAGTAGAAAGAAAGCCGTCAAGATTGGTTTGATAGCGGGTTTTAAAGATACTTTGAGATGATGATCGACCATAGGTTGATTGAAGAGATTAGTGATAGTACTCATGGTGTTATTCATCATGATATTGTGATGCTGAGGTGATGTTGAAGTTGCTGTTCTTGTTCTTGTTCTTGTTCTGATTGGTTTCACAAATCACTTTCAATCTAAATTTAAATCAAATCACATTCAAGAACAACAGTTGAGTCCTAGCACAGCTCAATAATTAAGCATAGCCACAATTCCTACCTCAACCTTGCGCCTGTTGTCCTAACAAAAAAACATTGGGGAATGTTCTTCAAGAGGATGTCTGTCTAGATAGTAGATGTCTATGGGATAAACAAGTTCCCTTCACAGCGCTTCGAGAATTCTTGGGGTCTTTTGGTGCTGATTTTTGTTGCGAGTTTTGTCCACAACTCGGAAAAAACTCTTTTCTACAATTTTAGTTTGACAGTCCTGGCGAGGAAATGTCAAGATATCTCTTGGCTAAGAGCATCTCCAATGTGGCTGAATCCGAATAGATGTACAGCTCAGTATTTCCCTCGGCTGGACAGCTGTAATTTTTTTCAGGTGACAGCGCCCTGCAACGCACAACTGAACTTCTTTCCCAATTCCTCATAGGGTTCATTTGAGGTTGAACCCCCGTCACCATATGTCTTCATCTACGTAATTGGTCGATCGCACCTATCGCGTTCCACACAATACATGTGATCGATTGCGCTCACCTCACGTAAAGAAAGAGAAAGGTAGTCCACGGATGTATGAATTTCTTTATTTTTGGCCCAATAGTCGTTGGGATACTGGGATTCAGATTATTCGGCCAGGTCAGCAAATTTGCTGACCTGAGCCTGGGAACGTGTCATTTCCGAAAAAACGAGTTCACAAGGGAGGTTCCATGTGGGAACACGACCTCGGCGTTGGATGAGGTTTGTCTGAATAACTCCAATACAGGTTACGTTTCTGACAGAAACGTAACATTTAGTCATTCAGATTCGGGAGCATTGGAGATGCTCTAACCCATATCTAGTACAAAATTTCGCACGCATCAGCTGCTTTACATAATTGCCTCCGCCCTCCTGCCAGCCCGCTCAATGAGCACCGGCTCAGCATCCAAGAAATGATAATCAAATTGCATACCTATACCAGCCCGCCCGAGCAGTAGGCAGGTACTTACGGCTAAAGTCATACTTTTCAACTCACAACAGTGGGTATTTGGTTTTTTTCCTTGATCATGGATTATGAGGGTCACAGGCCTCACAAAATGACACTGGAAGCTCAAGGAGTTGTGTTTTAGCATCCATTGTATTGATTGAGCTCACTCAGAAGTGTTGTAAAAAGTTGTACAGCCATTCCGATATTGCTTGTCGCACCCTTTTGAAAAGAAAAAGTTTGTGAGCTCGAAACCTAAGTTTTAACCGGTTAAAACCTGAAGTTTGGCTGTATTGCCTTAAATTACAGCTGAGTTTGAAGTTTTATCGAGTAAAAACTTAGGTTTCAACTTTTTCTTTTTCAAAACGGAGCGACAAGCAATATCGGAATGGCTGTATGTAGCTGGACCACCAAATTAAATACAGGCCCCCTTAAGTGTGCTGATGTCTCCAAAAACATGGTGTCCAAGAATCAAAACAGTGAATCTACCTGCAGTGACAATCAGAAACCGGTGAGAGGAGACACACAAGATGTTAAGGAACCTGTGTGTGGCTGGATGAGCAATTTTATGAGGTCTGTGAGTCTGTGACCCTCAAAATGGGCCAAAACAAAAAAGCAGCCAAAAATTCTGCTGTTGTGAGTTGAAAAGTACAACTTTAGCCGTAAGTCACTCCCTTGACTACTTGGGCAGGGGGGACTTTGATAAGTTTAAGGGATGCAGCACTGAGTCAACTCTGACTCAGTTCCTGGTGTTCCAAACTTGGTACTTCAATTGAGTACCAATCCATGTGAGTTACCGTTAGAGTGCCAGACTCAAGTGTTTTTTGATGTAGAGTCTGGCTTGGGTTCCAGACTCAGCACAGCCCCATATGTAAGTACTAGGGGTGGTAAAGGACTCACATTACAGTCTACTCACTCAGAGTACACTCATTCTTCATCAGACCAAGTGTACTCATGAATATTGAGTACCCTTGGTTGGATGGGTGTATTGTAAAAAGTGATTTGGGAGGTGAACCAACGGACAAAGGAACATGTTCCAAATTGCATACTTTCAGAGTAAAAAAATAAAGTAAAAAATGTGGTGGGGATTGTTTCTGGGTAAACAACGGTTCAGAGCAAAAGGAGATAAAACAAAATCAAGAAGTGGGTTAAGCAACATCCTCCACGCTCACAGTTGCCTCCCAATTTGTGAGCCAGTCTTGGAAGAGAACAAGGTGGGTTTCAGGGTCCAGTTGACCTCAGGATGGAACAGCTATGTTGCCTGAGATAGAGAACACCCTCTTGACCAAGGCACCAGCTGCCCCGATTGTGAGGTGTCAAAGGGCTATCTGCGCTAAGACCAGTAGTCCGCTTGGCTTGGACATGCGCTGGATAAAGAGGATGTTGGTCAGCTTTTCTCTAGGCGCCAAATACCACTTGAAGATGACTTAGAAATCATTGGAGAATTTTGGGTCCCAAAATTCTCCAATGATTTCATTGAGGAGTACAGGATACAGTTGTTGCAAGTATTGGGTCACTTTGTTGATTTCTTGACTGGAATCACTCAAATGTTGAAAAGCTGAGGTACCCAAGAGTGAATATATCTCTTGAATTTTCTGTGGGTACTGCTTTTTGAAGCCACAGGAACAGGAGGTGGAGAATTTTTGTTGCTCTTGGTAGGGCTGGGCTTCCAAAGGTTGTATTTGTCTCAAAGGCAGTGCTTTGCAAGCACTTCAGCAGCAACATGATTTGAAAAGATTGTGTCTCTCTGCACAGGGTCAAGGAGGGTTGCAACCAACATCTGGTGGTTGGCCTCCTCATGGTGGAGATATTTCACTAGCTTGTCTTCATCTTGTTTGCAAGCTTGACCCCATGCACCTGGAACCTTCTGGTGTTTCTTCAATACTGTTTGAAGGGCCCAGAGTACAGTGAGTGCTAACTGCTTAGTGGCATCATTCAATTGAAAGATCTGAGTTGCAGTCTTGACCATTTCAAGGAACAGCTTCATATACTCAATAGTTTCCCAGTCCAACTTTTAGATGGCAAGGTGGAGATGTTTAGGGTCAGCAGTGTAGAGTTCCAGAGACTTCCTGAGGTTGAGAGTTTGTTGTACCTGCATTTCAAGATGGTCAGCCTAATAGAAAGAAACAATGGGAATTATCTCTATTATGATGCTCACCACATAATAGAAATAATTCCAGCGAGTAGGAGGGCAGCTGTGGGGGAAGACTTGAGGGTCTTTCACACTTTCCTGGATCTTGATGAATGCCTCAAGTCCTTGAGGGCTTTTTTGGATGTGTGTATCCAAAGAGCAGATGTGAGTAACAATGTTGAACTTCTGCTTGCGTGCGGTAAGAATCACAGTGGGGGATTCTTCTAGGTGAGATTATTCTGGTGCAAAAATGTCTTCATAATTGAGTTGTCACAAGTCCACATTGTCTGTGTCCTGAGTTTGAGTCAGGCTTTGTACCTCAAGAAACACCTGAGAAATCAATTCACTGTGTCAAGGCAAAGATTCAGCCACTGGTACATTGCAGTTGCCAGTGCAAGGGAGTTTGTCAGGTTTGAATGATCTGCGGCTCTTAGCCATGCCAGATGTTTCAAAGGTGACAATGTCTTTGTCCGTCAGCTGCCCCATACCGTCCAGGAAGTCCTTGGCAACCAAGTTGATCATGTGGCACATGCAGCCATGGAACCTTGACTCAAAAGGTCAGTGGATACCAAGGTTTGCATGACGGCTGCCCAAAAGTTTTGCCATCACATGAGTTGATGAGGCATTGTTGCCGGTGACATAGTAGTGACTCCGAAGGGCCCCAACGTGCTCCAGCGCCTTCCAGTATACCTTTGCAAGGTTTTCACTGGTGGGTTTACCTTCAAGTTTCTGATTTCAGGGTAAAAGATAGATATCAAGAGTTAGAAACATTAAATTTGGAGCAGGTCAAAAAGTAAGAGCACACTTACCTTGAAAGCTAGCAATTGTCAGCAGAACTTCCCATCTGAGTTGAAGAAAAAACCGTTGATAGCCATGTAGGTCCATGATCCAACAGTCTGTGGTCGTCAAGATTGAACCACTAACCAAAGCAACCTTGTCAAGGAGCTTGCGTTCCAATTCAATGAAAAGTGCCTTGGAGTCTGCCTCCACAGCCATTTGAGCTGGCCAATAAAAATATGGTACAATCACATGCAGAGCCTTCTGCATCCAAACACCCTCAAAAATCGAAAAAGGTAAATTCTTCCTGATCACCGCACCAACAAGGAGCATGCACAGCTCTTCCTTGCAATCTGCAGCACCAATGGGATCACTTTCTGGTTTGATGCTTCCTGGCTCATGGTTGTACCAAGCAAGTGCCAAACCTGGGGACAAGGATAGCTTGTTTGATATGGATTCAACTTGGTGGCAGTATCTTGAGAGGTGGTGTTGGTAAGAAGGCTATTGTCCTAGATCAATATCATCTAGATATTGAGAATCATGAATCCACTGGAGGCCTTGTTTGGCTGAGTATATGGTGAGGGTAGACTCATCCAAACAAGGTGTACAGTGAAAAAGGGATAGCAAGTCTTTGGCATGGATTGAGGGTAGGTTGAGTATGTTTGATCAACTTACACATACAAGTGAGTGCTCCAATATGGAGTGTAACTCATACAGTCTGGCAGAGGAGTACATGTACTCCTCTGTGGGGCCAATACCCATGCTTGGTGACTATGAGTTGGGTATACTCATACTCACTACTGCATCCCTGACCTATGTATAAAGTTGACTCTGAGATGACCCATACCATTTTATGGAACCCAAAAACCATGGGTTATCTTTGAGTATGGGCTACCAGAAATAGTAGTTGGTACAAAGGATTGAAGAATGGGAATGTGTCGGGAAAAGAGGTTTTGGATAATGATGTACGGATCAAACACTCACATACATTCCTCTTAGACGAGTTGCCAAATCATTCATCTCATAGTGATTTGTGAAATGACGTCAACAGAGGATTGGATGAATAGGAAGGGCAATTCCCTAATTCCCATTTCCTCAGTCAAAATCAGTAATCCAAAAGATTTCATTCCTTACATCCATCCATATCATTATCCCGAAAACACATCTTCCTTTTTTTGAATACTATAAGTAAAATTCTTTTAGGAAAAGAAAACTTCTTCTTCACATATATTGTTTTCTTAAAAGAGCCTTGCATTTACTATGATCACTGATTCAAACAATGATCAAAATTATGTCATGCAAGCCAACGAGACCACAGCTATTTTTGACGATATTGATAAGATTCTTACCCACTATGACGATTCCGGTGGTAGTAAAAACACCTCTATGGCGCAGCTCCGTACTCAAATCGCGTCGGTCTATCATTACAAAGACCCTAATTTCTTATACCACTTTTCGGCCGTTGCGCGTGTCGCGATTGAGTTGGACCGCAGAGCAGGAAGGCCTAGGTACCCTATCACCTATCAGTGGCCTGATGACCCCAACCCCCAGTCTATGCCTCCTATCGTCCTCAGTGGCATGCTCGAACCCCCCCTACCATCGACATTTATGGTGTGGTCGAAGGTTTTTTGAAGCGTCCAATGCCCAAGTCCCCACCTAGATTTGAAGATTTATCCATGTTCCCTTCAAATCCAGTTACCAACACCGCTGGTCCTCCTCCCCCGCCTCCTCCAGTTCAAGACGTTTTTTCCGTGGGGGCTCGCACACCAAGTCCGCGTCCCGCCGGCCCGTCTAGAATCGTGGAACCATCCCTTCTTAACCGTATCACGTTTTCGAATAGTCCACGTCGCCGTCAAAGCTTGTCTCTTCCGGAAGCTATACCTCGACAACCTCCTTCTCGACCTCGACATACGGTTCAACAAGTCCCTACACCCCCCCTAACATGTTTGAAAGGATTGATAAAGGGAAACGAAAGAGAACTCACTCTATTTCGTCTAACCTTCCCTCTGTTTTCCCCTCTCAACCAGCACCAGCTGCCTCTGGAGTGCCTTTTTCAACGGGCCTTTCTTCTTTTGCCCCAGCACCAGCTGCCTCTGGAATTCCAGCTGCCGCTGGTCCCATTTCGGGAGCTATTACTTCTGCCCCGTATCTGGAAGAAAACAAACATCTCGTTCCAGAACAATTTTCCCCTATCTCTTATGAGGTCAACCGTATCGCTCTTCTATACAAGTCTGACATTAAAAGCCATATCAGCGCTTTCAATTCATGTAAAAATAGGCCTGCAAACTGGCAAAACTCTCTCACGAAAGATTTGCTTGAATACAATTTTGTCGACTTACGGAAATTCTATGGCGCGGTTGCCTCATCAGATCCTCCTCAGAGTAGGCTCCGTATCAACACCGACGGTGACCTCAAAAATGTGGAAGGCGCCGCTCCCAAAGAAATCACGGACAATAATCACTGGCAAAACCTCTTGGCCGTTCTCAAGCACGCTTACATCGCCGCATTTCCTCCTGCCGCTTTGTCAATTAAAAGCTACTTTGAATACATCCTTTCTCTACCTGGGTTATTCCAAGCGCGCGTACACTGGGAAGATGTACGAGACTTTGATGCAGAGTTACGTAAAGAATTTGCTTCCAGACCAAGCCTGGTCTGGGGCGATTATGAACACAAATCACTTAAAGGTATTGATAACCGCATCCTTTACAGTTCTACCAGCAAGCTTGGCAGAGCTGCGATCCCTTCAGCAAAATATCAACCGGTTCAGTCGACATCTCGTCCTGCCAGACCTATTTCTGAAACTACTTACACGCCTCGTCAATCTGATGCCCGTGCTTCAGAAAAGAAGCCCAGAGGACGTCGCGTCAAACCCAAGTATAAAGTCAAAAGCTCTGACACTGTTCCTCTGGCTGATCAGCCTTGCAACAACTGGAACGCTCGTGTTTGCCCCTTCAGTGCAGCTGACTGCGACAGAGTACACGGGATATGCAATAAAGATGGATGCTTTGAGAATCATCAAGGAAGCGTCGCTCACAGATGAACCTAACGCTCGCACTTTCCTTCAAGGTTTAGAAATCGACGTCCTCGACACAGGATACTCAGCAGCGGTCAATTCTTCTATCCACGCAGACCCCCTTCCTTCAGCACCCCCTTTGTCCTCTGATCCCCAAGCTGCCTATGCAATCAATAGACGGCCTGATTTATTTCAAATTAATTGTTCTATAAACGTCGAAAATTTAAAAATCCTCCTCAAAAATCACCCTAATAAACCGTTTGTTGACTCCATTATTCTCGGTCTTACAGATGGGTTTTGGCCCATTTCCGAAATGTCCTCTGACTCTACAGTGTACAACAAAAACCATGCCTCAGGCCCAGAAGCGGAAGAAGTTTTAATCAAAACTCGAGATAAAGAATTGAAATTAAACCGGTTTTCGCCACCTTTCCAAACTCTCCTCCCGGGCATGAAGGTATCTCCTTTGTGTTTAGCAACCAACCCCTCCTCAGGAAAGGTGAGGATGTGCACGAATATGTCATTTGGTAACCCATCTCCTAATGACTTAATTCGGAAGGACGACATCAAAATTGATCTTGATGGCATTCCGTACTTCATCCCCTTTATGCTCTATCACTACTTTGGTAAACACAAATTCATTCTCTGGAAATCTGACGTGGATGCAGCTTTTCGCAACCTTCCAGTTTCGAGACAATGGCAATTTCGCCAAATTATCAGAATCAACAAAGCTTTTCATGCAGACCGAAATGTCAATTTTGGTTGTGCAAGCTCCCCAAAACTTTGGTGTGCTTTCTTTTCATTGGTACTTTGGATTGCGTATTACAAGTTTAACATTACAGACCTCAATGCATATATGGATGACTCATGGGGCATTGGCTTAGCTTCAGATATGGTTCTATTTAAAGGTTGCACCATTCCGCTAAATCAGGCCAAGTTTTTATCCATCTTTGATTTCATCAACCTCCCATGGGCTTGGGAAAAGCAGATCTTTGGAAGTACTCTCGACATCATAGGCTACTCAGTGGATTGTGAGGAAGTCTCAATCTCCTTACCAGAAGGAAAACACATCTCCCTCATAGTTGCTCTCCGGTCATTCACTTCTTCTCTTTCTCATACATTAGTCGAATGGCAGCGCATCACAGGCTGGGCAAACTGGGGTTTGAACATCTTCCCACTTGGACGATGGGCATTGCAATAGTCTTGGGATAAGATTGCAGGTAATTCCATGAGGAATGCGCATATCCCTTTGAATAGATTGAATGTCAAAGACCTGAATTGGCTAGCAAACGCCCTCGAATCATGGCCAGGTCGAAAAGTCTTAAAACATCTTCATTGGTCCCTGACCGAGGCTGACTGCATGTTCTTTACCGACGCTTGTCCGACTGGTTTCGGTTTTTGGCAACCGTCCAACGGCCGAGCCTGGCACTGTTCCTTACCGCCCCCGTCCCGTAACAGTTACTGGGCAGAGCTCTTAGTGGTTGTATCAGCAATCAAGATGGCGGTAGATTTCAAAGCATCAAGAACAGCAATCTTCACCGACTCCGAATCAGTATCATATCTATTCTCATCTCACCGGCCAACGTCAACTGCTAGAGCCCTTTTCAAGCTCGCAATTGACCTGATGCTCTCGAATTCATTAGATGTCAAGGTCCGATTTGTTCCGAGGCAACACAACCGTGTAGCGGATGCATTATCTAAAGGACAAGTTGATCTAGCACGTTTGATGGTTCCGCGCCTGCGTCTCGAAGATTTCTACCCAGACCCTTCTACACTTCAAGGCGGATTTCAAGATCGTTCCCTTCCAGCCTTGACTCAATAATTCTATTGATTTATCTTTTCACACAATTCTAAAAAAAAAAAAACATCTTTAGAAAAGTCTTCCATGGCTAGAATCAAATCAATCGAAAGCAATCCTCTTTCTTTCAAGGAACGCGATGAATTGAACAAGTCTGACATCAAGAATCGCTTAGAGAAGTCTACCATTGCCAAATACACTTTGGGCTACCGAAGATTCCTAAAATTTTGTAAAGAACACCACGTCCGAGTTTACCCAAGTGAAACGAATTTATGTCACTTTATCTCAGTTATATCTAGAGAAGTAAACCCGGACACAGTAGGAAAATATCTCACTGGCATTTCATACAGCATGCAAGATCAATTCCCCATAGTCCTCATCACTCGGCAATCAGTCAAAGTCAAAGAAACGCTTCGAGGCTGCCAAAAATTGTTCTCCAAACCGATCGTACAAGCTGACACTTTCACTATATACGATATAGCCATTGCAGCAGAATGCTTCAACTCGACTTTCGACGACGCGCTGTTTAACACTATCTTGGCTCTCGGTTTCGCAGGGTTACATCGCCTGGGTGAACTTACAATACCTGATACTATGAATCTATGAAACAATAGAAAGTGTATCAGAAGGTCTTCACTCGTCATATCTTTGTGCGGATCCGTAGCTTGTTACAACCTACCATACCACAAAGGTGATCCTCAGTACAAAGGAACCCCAGTAGCGATTGTAAGCAGACCAGGCGATCAAACCTGCCCAATCAGAACGCTTCTTTGATACACAGTAGCTCGCGACAAACTTTTCCCAATCTACCCCTTTTGGTTGGTTCGGGAGAACGGCCATCAACCCACCAGAAGTTGGTTCATGAATTGATTACGTGAAATCTTCGGTCGTTCAAGAACGGGTCACTCACTTCGAGCCGGTGGAGCAACAGCATATGCTCAAAACGGCATGGACATGGACACTATCCAATGCATTGGAAGGTGGCTGTCCGAAGCTTTCAGATCATACATTTGCACTCATCCCCTCCTGAACTTAAATAACACTCAACGCATTACTCAAGCGGCTGGTTTCACCACGGGAAAGCACATCGAGTTTCCTGGAGCCGTGCTCGTAAGCTAGACTTCATAGATGCCAATTTATCAAAGTCGGAAGACTTCCTCACAACATGACAGATTGCTGATCTGATGTTGCATCACTTCATTATTTACAGCCGTGGGCCAGTAAAAAATGAAGACCCGTTATTGACCAAACAGTCATCGGGCAGCGTAAAGTAAGTCTTTTTTGCAAAGACTGTAATTCTTATTCACATCACGCTAACATCAAAAAACCGTATCACAGGTTTTTTCATAGGAAGGCGTTCCGCCATACCCTAACTCACCAAGTGGTAGAAACACCTCCCTTGGAAAAATTGTTAGTATTCTCGTTGAAGAACACAATTTTTCATCAGTTCACAATTCGTAGACGGCTGACTAAAAGTCCATATTCACTTATCACGCATTTAGACAAACCTTAGATAGTACACAGAGTTCTACACCATTCCTCGATTTTGGGGAAATCTCACCTACATCACTACTCATCAACCTACCATCACTACTCTATATACTACGAGGGCGGTAGAACTCGCTTCATTTGTTAGTCTTAGTTTATTTGTGCTGTTTTTTCTCAGTCAGGCTTTATTATAATATGATAATCAAGCCCGCCCTCCGCGGCCGTTTAGCGTGAACCAGATACAACAAGTATCCAAATCAAAAAAGACACATTCCCCTCTGCAGTAACCTATATCAACTAATTCATGGGTTGTTGCAAAGGTGTTTTGTGGAATGCAAGACTCAAACAGCCCCCATAGGCTTTGGCTTTGTCAGAATCTTTGTGTCTGAGGTAGTTGGTGACAACAATGGCTGACTTACGTAAATCAAAATATGATGGGAGAGGAGTTACCTGGTCCTCAGAGTGATCTGGCATGGGGTAAAGTGTTGCTGTTGCGTTTGAGTTGAGATTCTGATATGAGTGTGGAACTGTAAGAGTTGGATCGCTTCAAAGAGCTTTTCGTATGTGTCTAAAGACTCTATGGTGTAGTATTTGAATTGTTTGCTGCAAGGAACTGTGGGTTTTTTGTCTCTGATTGTTGAAAAAAAGCTATGGGTTATGGGGTATGATAGAGTTATGGGTTTTTGGCCCATTTCCTTGTATATGAAGTGAGAGAATTCCTGATCTCACCAATGTTCATCGGATCGACGTTGGTCCGGCGACTGTGCGTTGCCAATCCCCAACTTTCAGGGCGCCCGGCTCCATTTCTTCTTGCCATTTGCCAGACACCCCTCAGGTCATCACTAACCATTTGAAGAAGGAATGGTGGACATATCCGCTTGGTCAAGAACGATGAAAAACCTGCTCAAGACTGTGAACTCGAGGCAAAACTTTCAAAGCCGAACTTTGATCTCTTGGCCTCGGCTCATTGGCACCTGTCAGCATATTACACCTCGTCACGGGTCGGTCGATCGGATCCGAAAGACGATAGAGGAAAACCTGTCGCAACGGGTCTCCAAAGATCTGCTTAGCCAGCTCAAACTTCACCGTCACAAGCAAACCAATCCTTCTTCAGATAGAAAATTTCATCAAATGGCTTCAGGAACTTCGCCAATTTCGACCGACGAGCTTCAATCTCGTCAACAGACTCTGTTGGTGCCTCACGTGATGCCCTTCATTTTCTTATCATTTTTTTAAAACTCACCTGACTATCATATTATCCCTTTGGAATTATGCAAATTAGAACTGCAATCGAGTCTTCCCAAATTGCTCTCAACCTTCTTCCGTCAGGAATTGCGGTACCATTGAATTTTTCAGAGGGCGTTGATAATACAGCAGGCGAGTTCTTGAATGAAGCAGCTGCATCGGCGCAAAAGCTGGCTTTCAATGGGCTATTTAGCAGCGTACTTGCCGGTCCTACTAACGAGAGCGACGAGTACGTTGACGTACCGGTATATCTGGGTCGACCTAGCTCGTCTGTTTCCGTCGATGTCGATTGGTTGAAGTCACAACTAGCACCTGATACGCAACTGCCAATCAAAGTGAGTATCATGAAGCCAGTCTGGGAGCTCTACAATTGCCCAACACGATCTGAACAACTTCTTTCTCCTAGATCCGTCAATCACCAGCTTCTCCTCAAGTTAATTCTCAAGAGCTCGAAGTTTTCTCGGGATTTCCCTCATCACTGAAAGAAGATTCAGCCTTCTCCAAAGTATCTGAACTCCTCCAGCAGCTCACTCCCGGGAGCATACATCACCTCGAATTAGGATCCGAGTCAACAAATGGTGGCAAGACTGCTTGTTGTTTATTTGGTGAATTTTCGGGCTATTGGGTTGGGTTGATTGGCTGTCGCGTTGCCACTTGATCTATCACACATACCTTTTACCTTCTTTACGCGTGTTCTGAACAAAGTATTCAATGAATCGAGTGTTATGATGTTGTATAACCAAAATGTATTTCTCTGTGCACAATACATGTATTGAATTCCAGCGAAATTCTCTTGTGCATCTCAAACTCTGGCTTCTGATCATCATTACATATATTTGGCTGTTTGCTTCTCAACCAAAGCATCCGAAACTAGCAGCCAAATAGAAGTGAAGCATGACCTCAAGATCCGATCCGGATATCTGTCTTGATTCTCAGCTGGCTCGGGTAGCAGTGGTGGTGGTGTATATTTCATGAGGAACACTATACCGGTGAAGACCCACATAGCTCCAGCATTGAAAAAGAGGCGTAAGCTTTGATGACTATATGGAGTCGTTTGATCTGTGCGGAAAAGGTTGAACATGCCTCATCATTTGAGTCATCAGCCCATGAAAGCAAAAGCCAGTCATGACAAGACAATTGTGCAAAATATCACATAGAAAATTGTTTTCAACCCTTAGAGTTCAGTTTCCGGGAGTCCAGGGTAGTCGTGATATGTTACTCGGGTATGCACCAAAAAGGCGTTGTATGAGATAGTTCTGAATTCGCAGCGGGCGCAACTCACTTTGAAGGGAATCTTTCAAGTGTGCGTACAATTGGCGTTGCGCGTCTCATTTATCAAGCTGGACTTCGATGACCTTACCGCTTTTGTCCTGTCTAGACACCACGTAGCATGCAGCCTGATTATTCAAGATGTGTCACAAATACATCCAACAGAGCTATTGCATGTCTCAGTGTTGTTTGACTTGTGATTGCAGCTTGGATACGAAGTCTTGGCCGATGTATTGAAAGCAAAAGATGATAAAATTTCGAAAGATCGTCCGAGACTCACCGAAGTTCTCGTCAGACGCACCAGCTTGACTTCTATCAATAGCTCGTATTGCCAATTTTAGGGATCAAACATGAAAATGAGACCGTCTAGTGCTATTCTGCTTTCATCCTTGATTTTAATATTTGTAACCTCGCTTCTTTCCCTTCCCTTGGAAAATGAACTGGACGAGGCTCTTTTAGCGGATAAAGTTTATTCTCACGGCCCTGATGCAGACCCGAGATCTGCACAGGATCCCAGAAAATCCTCTAGTAGTTCTTTGGTACCCAAGAAAACAAGTTTGCAGAAAGGAACCCGTAAAACCAAGTTTCTAGAACAATTTTGGAAGGCAGCATTGGACCCACCACCAGAAAGTGCCAGTGAAGAAAATTGGAAGATTTACTATAAAATCGCTCTCAAAGTGTTATATTTAAATGACCTGAACCCCAAAATCAAGGCGCTGGCCGAGGCGGTCACGGAATTGGGAGAATCATTTCCTTTGTTGGAGTACACTGATCAAGGAATAGATGCTTTTATGGTGCCGTATCTTTACCTCGCTCATAGTTGCCTTAGGGTCGTTTCATTGGGACTGGGGGAAAGAATCTGGGTCGTGGGTGTCTTGTCGTGCCTCAGATGGAAAATTCCAAAACAAAAAGAAGAGATAAAGTCAAATAAATTTATCTACACATCTGACATTGCCACTATCCGAGGGAATATTGAGACTTTCTTGTTAAGAGGTGAGACTTTCATTATTCAACTATATATTTTTGAATCTATAAAACCGTCTTAAAGTTATACGCAACCTGACTTTCAGAGCAGCCTCTGGGAGAGATACTTCAGACGATGTGGCCTGATTTTCTTACCTATTCGAGTCTTGCAGACCAACATCCGGGTGAGTGATGAAGTTACAAAAAACAAGTGATGGTAGCTGACATTGGGGCTTGATTGACAGTTGTCTGGGAAGGACTCCAAAGAGCATCATTAGCAAACTTGATTCTACAACAAATCAGAACCTCTGCTATAATCCCATCGGACGAATTCAAAGGAATCATGAAGTCGTTTCTTCGTTTGCAAACTCCCATCGATGACTACAGGGCTTCGACATTCACAGATGATCTCGCAGGTCAACTTGTCAAGATGCTCAGTTCAACGAGGCCAACAAGCGCCCTTGCTGAAGAAACGGCCTTGGTTCGAATCCTATTGCATATGCAGGAGAACCACCTTCACAGCAGACTGAAGGTTCTACAATTAATCCGAGAACATAAAATTGGCAAAATAGTTTTCCGCGTTGACATTGGCCTTCAGCTTGGGGACAACCCGTTGGATTCTCCAGCAAACAGACTTTACAGCTTACTGAAGAATGTACAAAATCTTAATATTGAAGATTTCAACGACGCCTTGAAATCAATGATCGACCAAGAACTTCCGATACCCCAGTGGGGAAAGCTTCTCAGGATTCTCGAAGTGTCGAAGCCGCTGAACCGAGACATTTACAATAGTGTGGATGCACTACTTTCTGACTCGGAGGGGATCACCGGGAAACTTGCAAGAGTCTTACACCAGCTCTACCCTAGAAGAGGGAATCGCAATATCTTCAGCCCGCCAGGGATCCTGGCTCTGATCTCAACCCGAGGTAAGTGGAGAAGTTCAGATGTGTCAATGCGAAATCCTGATTGACATGCGTTTGTTTTGTGGATATAAATCTAGCGCAAGACCTCAAAGAAGCCATTCATAGGCAAGAACTTGAAAAGAAACTTGTCTTCGAAGGAATTTTATCAGCTCAAGTTATTGAGCCTTTTTCAAAATTCTTGATGTGGAATTTCAAAGGCGACAGAAAACCAGAGTTGAGGCGTTATTTACAAACAATATACGTCCAGATTATGTCAAGAGAAGACACTCTGAATGCGCTCAAGTCGAGTGACACCATCATAGAATATATTCTACGCATAATTTTTCTCAAAAACAATAATCAGAAACTTCTTAGATATCTATCCAACAAGATTGCCTTCGAATTGCTTTCATCGCGGGTTGTTGAACTGCTCATAGCATCACGCAAAAAATTATCACATCAGACTTTTGAATCCCATCTTCAAAAGTTTGAACAGGTCAGTCATTTTGTTTGGTTGGAAGCATCTTAACAATTGGTGAGTTGGATATTGATTCCAGATTTCAACTTTCTGTAGGAGCTCCTTGAAGAATTCGAAACGGTTCTAATTATGAAGATGGTTCGTCAGCGAACAGATTCTACCAGCTTTGTTCATGAATGAGATTCAATTTCCTGGCCAAACTATGATGATGATTGTGTCCACACAGACATAAAGTTGAAATTGAACCCCAAACTTGATAGATAGAGGTTTATATTATCTGAACTTGTAGCAAAATCAATGGTGTTCACTTGAGTGTGGTTGACCTTGCTCTGACACCAAAATATCTTGGTCTGGTATAGCAAGGATATACAACATTGAGCGGTAGGACTGATGGTCTGCGCATTATTTTCAGTGTATCTCAGAGTGGTATCTTAATATGACCCCTATTTCCCCCTTTTGCTCATTTGGATTTTTGGTCCTCTACCAACTCGGCCGGGAAACTGGACAAGTAGTGAGATTGACCGTAGCAGATCTTCCCATCAAGTGAAGCCTCCTTTCTTACTAGTATTGCAGATGGACTGATTCTTGAATACCAGAAGGATCCGATCAGACTTTGAAGAAATCATGCGGTTAGAACGCGCGCTGGATTCTCCAGTCCTCACATGTCTTGAATATGCGTAGTTATACTAGAGTGAAATTTCAGGAGATGGATCTCTGATGTATCAATTTACAAATTGAAATGTTAATACTTGACAAACTCCTTGATCGGCTGCCAAAGTGTTATAGGAGCTATAAATGTGGTGCCTCTTTTTCGACACAAGAAAAGAACTAAATATAATTTTACGTCCGAATTGATCAAGAGATTGAGTCCAGATAAATCTTTCAAAGAAGACTTTCTTGAAACATGGTGGCTTTAAGACTTTTAAAATTTACTTTTGTTCTTACTGCCTTCAGCTATGTGGCAATTGGAGGTCCGATTAATCACAAAAATGATAACCAAAATGGTAACGTTATTGATCATTCTATTTAATTTCTTTGAAGATTATGAAATATCGCAAGAGAGTATCAGAATATCAAAGGCTAAAACCTTTTTCATGGTTTTGGAAAAATAGGGCTCAGTGTCGATAAGTTAATCAAAGTGGATTGTATGGAAACTCACTTCGCAGAGTCAGAAATATTTTCTGAACCAGAATTCCCTGGAGAAGAAGCTCTGGTAAGGCAAAGGGAAAAGTTAACTCACAGACCCTTCAAAATCGGTGGTAAGTCACAAAGTTTTATTATTTGAATTCCAGAGCTATGACTGCTTGTAATTGAATCGCTGACCTTTGATGTTTTTGTATGAAAGTCATGGCTCCTGAAGTGTGCGCTGCCTCTTCAGAAAAGAAAAAGATGATCCAAGTGAAAAGTAAGTAATTTGGTTGAGATCCAGAATTGCTTCAGAAGGTATCAATGATTTCTAACATCTTGATGACCATATGACATAGAGAAACATCCATTCAAGAGTCATGAATCAAATAAAAAGGCATCACACCCCGGGAGCCTTTTGAAGGAAGACATTGTTTTCAAGAAATCCACATTGAATCCTAACATTGTTTTAAGCTAGTTGCATCCAAGGAGCTCTTTATCTTTTTACTTTTGATGTTTGAAGATGTATTAAAAATTCCTCTATGTCAAAATCATTGATTTCAGAATATATAAGATTTACTTGAGAGGAAGTCCTCAGTCATCCACTTAATGTTTGCTCATAAATGTCCACATAACAGCATCCACAATGGTAATGACATCATACACGTGAAAGACTGTGGCCGCGCCCAAGAGGCCTTTGTGAACCTTATGTTCAGGTTAGGTTTCATGACGTCGGTCCTGGCCATGTGAGCCTGGAGAATAAGGTCCCCGGTCAGTCAGGGTTGGGTCCGGGTAACAGCCCTACCATGCCACCGCCAAATACAGCAAATACAAGGCTGTATAGGTGGTAGGCACACACCTGCTCTAACCTAGCTCAAGATATAGGACCAATAGCCAACCCAGATGTTTGGCAGCACTATTGGATCACCACCCAGAACAATATAACAGTACAGTTGATCCAGCCTAGTCACAACCACAGGCCGGCCCCAAGGCCCAAATTTTCAACCCTCCAGTAATAGCCAAGTAGGGTATTTTGCTAGAAGTTTTTTTGCATCTTATTACCACTTTTGACTCACTTGATCTCAGCTTTGTTGATTTGTACTTGGACTATCAAAGCAACAGCTTCAAATGCAAATCCTTCCTGGACTCAAAAGCTCTCTTTGAGGATGTTCACAAGTGGTGTCCAGTGTCAAGGATCTGGATGTATTTTCAAAAAGTCAATTGGCATATGGACGTCTATTGGTGAGTCTCTGATCATTCTTGGCTTCTTAACTCACTATCCATCACTGATACCTTGTCATTTTCAACACTCAAGACTTGGTATGACCGGGTACCAGATGAAAAATTGACCAAGAGATACTGCTTGCATTGATGCATACCACAAAACACCCAATACCAAAACCGCTGCGCAACACAACAAAATACGACCAGATCCCATTGTGTTGCGCTTTTGGCGCAATATTACACTGCAAAATGTACCGCAACGGTACATGAAATTTTTTCTCTTGATGTTGTGGTGCGGATGAGGCGCAATATTTTCGCAATATTGACGCATTATTGCGCAGAGAGCAATATTGCGAAATTGAGGTCAATTTTGCAATATAGAGCTCAATATTGTGCTAAAGACTTTCTCGTGGATACTACTTGTATTGAAATTTGGGAAATAACAAAGTAAAAACATGTTGTAGCTTATTCCAAAAAATGGAATAAAGGACTACAAAAGATATTATTTTCTTTTCTTTTTGGCTACACTGTCAATATAGAGTTGATCAGATTTTGTGGCTTCTGCAAAATCCCCGTCCGGTACTACTCCCTCCTTTAGCCAAGCCTGAGCTCCCACGAGCCGCTCCATTGTCTTAGGAAGCATCCCACCTCGTGAAGGGGTGCAGATATCAGCCGCCGCCAAAAACATCCGTTCGCAGGCACACAACGTGGCCGAAACCGACAGGTAATCACGTGCGAGATGAGCAAGAATGGGGAATTTGTGTTGATGTTCCTGTCAAAAACAAAATACATTAGAATGTGGCAGTGAAAAGGTAGTACTAGAAAAAGAGATACTAACCTTCCACCAACCCAAAGGGGTTTGGCCCTTATTGATCGGGCATTTCCCATTGAGATAATCTTCAAGCTCAGTATTGGCCTTATAATTAACTGCGTCTGCAACTCCAAATATGTCGAATTTGTCAAGGTGGGTCAAAGCCGGTTCATTATCAGTTGGTGGACTTTCCTGTTGCTCCTCTGATTCATCCAAGCGACTCTTGAACGCTTCCTCAATAGCAATATTAGCAGCTTCTTCTTGTTTGGGGTAAAACTTGGTGAAGAACTTCCCTCGAAGGCAAGGGTTAAGTATGGTAGCCAATACAATACTTTGGCATTCAACCGCTTTGTCACGGTATTTTGTTAGCCAATTAATCATCTCTTCAATTGCCTTTGTAATGCTTGAGTAATCCGACGATTCAGTTTGAAGGGCCTTGAGTTCGGAAATGACACGCTGGTATTCGGCCAGCACAATACAACCGGTGGGTCCATTACCCTCGACTCGTGCTGTAGCGTCTACAAAGGTCTACCAGAATTCATTGAAAGTTAAACACCAGGTATGTCAGTCAGATAGTCCTATAGAAAAAGGTCAATGTGCTCACCTTCAATACTTTATTGACAAGTTCAACTGCATTCCATTCAGCCGGTGAGATCGTAACCCCCTTGAAAAAACGTGCCTTGCGATCCGCCGCTAGCATCGAGTCAATTACCTGTAGATACAGTGTGTCAGATGATAATCAAGATGATAGACAAGAAGGAAATGAATGAAAATATAGAATAGGGAAAACATACCTCATGAGCCTCACATGCCACCTTCCGGCTCTGGTAGTGGCTATTCCACCGAGTCTTGCAAGGACGCATGAGCATTTGCCCTTTGTATCCCATCCGAGTAGCTCGTGACTTGAAATCACAGCGCCTGGCTGCGCTGCTGGCGATTTGACCACTACACAGCCAACAAAGATGCCTCGGATTAAAAAATCTGAGGTATCATCGGACTCAAATCCTCGGACAGAATCTTTCCGAGGTTTTGATCCGAGGTATCCTTTAGCGCCAAAAAATACCTCAGATCAAATCCTCGGACAAGATCTGTCCAAGGGTTTCCATCCGATGATGCCTTGGATTTTGCAATCCGAGGCATCTATGTTGGCGGTGCTAACTGTATTGACCTGCATAGAAAATCAGGTCAATGAGTTCTTTATCAAAAAAAATAAGTGAAGAAGAAAAACAAAACGAAATTCAAAGAAAGAGAAGAACAAAAATATATATAAGGAAAGACAAAGTGACAGAACTTGCCTTCACAAGTGCAACAGCAACCAGATCCGCCTTGTCACAAACATCATCCTGGGTTTGATCCTCATCATCATCAACCCCGTCAGGCTTTTCAGGTAAGCCTTCATCGGATTCATCTTCTTCATCAGAATCCTCTTCATACATTTCAATAGCATCATTGCCATTATTAACCTGAAGAGACGGAATAGGGAGAGCAACACCATGTGGAATTGTTGATTTGGTGGTGGTAACCTTCTGACCAAGGACTTTGAGGCCATGCCCGACTGTGAGATTCAGTTTGTGGGCATAGCAGCGGATATGGTGAACTGAACTATCCCAAGTCACTGGATTGTCGGCAGTTGCAAACATAGATTCGAGTTCGAGAGCCATTGGATTGTTATTTACGCCACTGTCGGTAGTTTGGCATAACATGTAAGAGAAGTAAAGTGATGGTTAGCCAAATAGTACTTTAGAACAGAGTGGATATGAAAATATACGATGAGAAAGATATAAAAAGATATGAACGTGAGATGAATGTGAGACTTATCTTTTCATGAAGACCTTGACGAGTTAAGAACCGTCCAATTGGTCTTGCCAAGAGAGCCCCGAAGTGCCTCCAAGCAACCATCTTCAAAGTTAGGTGAGTCGATTTACAATTCCAGTTTTCGTCGATGTAGTTTGCGGTTGCTCCAATAAAGGAGTAGCAATTACCTTTAGTAGTCCAAACGTTGTGAATTAGGCAGAATTTGCCTTTATTCATCTGTTCAGATACATATTATAAATGATATCAATAGAAATATAAATCAGGAAAAACAATTTTACTTAAAGTGCTTACCTTGATGGTATTGATAGCTTTATTGTGTAAGTCCGAGTAAAGTATGACCGACTGTTGTGCGGCCCACGTCTTGGAACGTACCACAGCACCTCGATTGATTGTATGGAAAGCTGCTCGAAGGGTTGGGTCTTCGAATCGAGCCCAAGGGAGGGCATGCCGAACAACCCACAAAACCAAGAGCATGTTCAGCAGGTCGACCGTAAACGTAGGCCCACTGATAAAGTCAGATAATGTTCCTCTGTCGTTTTTATCAACCTTCTCCTGCTTGTCATGATATGAAGGAGGGAGGGACATGCCAGCAGCGATGGCCTTATGTCGCTGTTTGCACTGAGGACGAGCTGCGCTGCCATCGCGATGGCCCCATAAGTTGAAATAAGAGGTTTTGGTTTTGTCGCCTGTGAAAGTTTGGTGACAAAACCAACACTTGTACATGCGGCCCTTGAAACCAAAGGAAAAATTGATGGTTAGTAAAATATAGAGACAAATAAAAAATAAACTTACATTGGGTGGATGAAAATAATCCAGAAGCTCCTTCACATCATCGGTCCGAGCCTCATTGTAGGCAGGTTCTTTGTTGGATTTGATGAACTCTACTTCGCTGTCGGACTCTTGAGACACATTGATATCTTCTGGTACTTCAAAGACCTACAGTAAACGATAGGAAGAAACAGGTATAGAGTAAACAATTAGAAGAAAAATTTAAAACCCATGAAATAGATGAAGGTAAAATTAAAACTTACATCTGTGTTCGATTTCTTTGACTTTGATGTTTGAGTGATGCTGCCTGAGAGACTTCCGGTTGGCGATCTGGCATGATTGCTAGTTGAAAACCGAGCCTGGAAGTGATAATAAGAACATATAACAATTAGTTCTCCAAAGAAATTAGAAAGAAAAATATAAACATCACGAAAAAGATGAATGAAAGAGTAGGACTTACGTTGACATTTGATTTCTTTGATTTTCGAGGTGTGCCGCCCAATAGACTTCCTGTTGGCGACCTGGCATGTTTGCTAGTTGTTGACCGAGTCTAGAAGTATTCACAATATCATGGATCAGTTAATTCTCCAAATCGTTCTTGGATATCAAGCAACTTGACATACCTTCTTGCCTTTTGAAACAGGTGTTGTCTTTTTGCTAACAGGCGGTCGAGGCGAAGCAGGACGATGGGAAAGGTGGTTTGGATTGTCATCGTCAGGAGTTGTTTGTTGAGTAAGGGCCATACGCGAGTCGTTCGGAGTAATGATGAACCCTGGCTGTGTGCAAATAGGGCTTGCCGGCCGAAGGGTTCTAGTGGAGGTCTGTCCTGGAATCTGGAGCCTACTTTGGGATCCGGTTTG